CTCCTCTCCAAGGACTCCTCAACAAAACGGTGTGGTTGAAAGGAAAAATCGTACTTTACAAGAATTTGCTAGATCAATGTTAAATGAGTATGATTTACCTAAATATTTTTGGGCGGAAGCCGTTAATACCGCTTGTTATATTTTAAATAGAGTTTTAATTAGACCTTCATTAAATAAAACTCCTTATGAACTCTGGCATAACAAAATTCCAAATGTTGGGTATTTCAAAGTTTTTGGTTGTAAATGTTTTATTTTGAACAACAAAGAAAAGCTTGGAAAGTTTGATTCAAAAACGGATATTGGTATTTTTCTTGGCTATTCATCTACTAGTAAAGCTTATAGAATTTTCAATAAGAGAACTTTAGTTATTGAAGAATCTATGCATGTGGTATTTGATGAATCTTGCAATAATATTTCTAATGAGTCTATTTGTAGTGATGATTTAGAAAGAAATTTTGGAGATTTACTCGTTAGTGACAACGGCAAAGAAATTGTTACGAGTAAAGAAGAGATGAGCTTAAAGGAAGAAGGTTCTTCATCAATGCCAAAAGAATGGAGGTATGCCTTGTCTCATCCCAAGGACTTGATTCTTGGTGATCTCGAACAAGGTGTGAAAACTCGCTCTTCTATTAAATTATTTAATAATCTTGCTTTTGTTTCTCAAATTGAACCAAAAAGTCTTAAGGATGCCGAAAATGATGAGTTTTGGATTTTAGCCATGCAAGAAGAGCTAAATCAATTTGAAAGGAACAAAGTTTGGGAATTAGTCCATAGGCCATCTAATACTTCTATTATTGGAACCAAATGGGTTTTTAGAAATAAAATGGATGAAAATGGGAATATCATTAGAAATAAAGCTAGGCTTGTAGCTCAAGGTTATTGTCAAGAGGAAGGCATAGATTATGAAGAAACTTTTGCACCCGTTGCTAGATTAGAAGCTATTAGAATGTTACTTGCTTTTGCTTCTTACAAAAATTTTGTATTATATCAAATGGATGTGAAAAGTGCATTTTTGAATGGTTATATTATGGAGGAATTTTATGTAGAACAACCTTCCGGATTTGAAAATGTAGAATTTCCTCATCATGTCTATAAGTTGAAAAAGGCTCTTTATGGCTTAAAACAAGCTCCAAGAGCTTGGTATGATAGACTTAGTAATTTTCTTATTGGGAATGATTTTAAAATGGGCAAACTCGACACTACACTCTTTATTAAGATTAAAGAAAACGATATGCTATTAGTGCAAATATATGTGGATGATATCATATTCGGTTCTACTAATCCTTCTTTATGTGAAGCATTTTCTAAATGTATGCATACTGAGTTTGAGATGAGTATGATGGGAGAACTCAGTTTCTTTCTTGGACTTCAAATAAAACAACTCAAAGATGGTATCTTCATCAATCAAGAGAAATGCACTAAAGATTTGCTCAAAAGATTCAAGTTCAATGGAGGGAAGATTGCAAGAACTCCCATGAGCACATCCACTAAGCTTGACAAGGATGAAAAAGGTAAAAGTGTGGATATTAAAGCTTATCGAGGTATGATTGGATCTTTACTTTACTTGACCGCTAGTAGACCCGATATTATGTTTAGTGTATGTCTTTGTGCTAGATTTCAATCTTGTCCTAAGGAATCTCATTTCCATGCCGTTAAGAGAATATTTAAATATTTGCTTGGAACTATTGATCTAGGATTGTGGTATCCTAGAAATGTTGAATTTAAATTGGTAGGATATTCTGATGCAGATTTTGCCGGAAGCTTACTTGATCGTAAAAGTACTAGTGGAACTTGTCAATTTCTTGGTAGTTCCTTAGTTTCTTGGTTTAGTAAAAAGCAAAATTCGGTTGCCTTATCTACTACCGAAGCGGAATATATTGCGGTTGCTAGTTGCTGTGCTCAAATTCTTTGGATGAAACAAACTCTTTGTGATTTTGGATTAAAGTTTCATAGTGTGCCTATATTTTGTGATAATACAAGTGCTATTAATTTAACTAAAAATCCTATTCATCATTCTAGAACTAAACATATTGACATTAGACATCATTTTATTAGAGAGCATGTGCAAAATGGCCATATTATTCTTGATTTTGTAAACTCTAATAATCAACTGGCCGATATTTTCACCAAGCCATTGAATGAAGAAATTTTTTGCAAAAATAGGCTTGAGCTTGGTATTATTCGTTGTGATATATCTTGAATTTTATAATTTTTGAATGCATGTTTTTAGGGGGAGCCATTATGTCATTATTAAATGCATTCTCTTTCAATTGTTCATTTTGATGATTACAAAGAGGGAGAAAATTAAGAAAAATATGTTCTAAATTTGTTATTTTATAATTTATGAATCATTTACTTGGTGTTTCATAATTTCTTGAGGCAATAATATAAGGGAGAATATGCTCTTGAGTGAAATTTATGATAATATATTAGTATGTAGTGATATTATTACATGGATGTTGTATTATTGGTTTTTATGAATTTTTCTTTAAATGATTTGTCATCATCAAAAAGGGGGAGATTGTTGGCTTATTGGCCCTTGATCTCACATTAATTAATTTGAATGAATTAATTATTGATGTTTTGATGATAACAAACCTACTTTTAATTATTAACTATTTTCAGTTTTTTGAACTGTCCACAGTATAAGGTCGGGAATAACGATTACAACAACTTTTCAATTACTCAAATCAGAGCTAAAACGAAGAAATTAGAGTCGAGACAACATACCCGACGTGATGATGTGGCAACAAAATCAAAATGATGGACAAATCAAAATATATCAAAGTATGACATTTATAATATTGGAAGAGTAACACATGGTGGAGTTTTTCTTATTATTACATTTCTAAATAAAATTATTTTTACGAATATAAATTTGAATATAACCGTTACTCACATCGAATTTTATTATTACTATATTATATTATTATATTATTATATTTATAATAAATTTTGAATTACACTTTACCGTTACTCACATAACTTTTTATTATTATTATATTATATTACTATTATATTAAAATTTTGAAATAAATGAATTGAGAAAATTTTCTTACTTAATTACTTTTAATCTCCACCTTCCATTATTCCTAACACAATCCAATGGTCAATATTCAATCCTACATTTTGCCACTTTTCTCCTCTATATAAACTCATCTTCCCCACATTTTTAACATATACAACTTACATACATTCTTCAATCCTCATTTGTTCAAAGTCTCCATTGTTTATTGCTCTCTCCAAGCTTACAAGTTTATTTCTTTTCATCTTATTCTTGAGAGGGATTATTATTATATTGTGAGGAAATAGTTGTCAGTATCCCAAATTGTAAATCTACTCTTTGAGAGAGTTGTGGTGTGTTATTATCAAACTCAAATACTTGTATCGGTTTGATCCTGCGTCGTTGAAAGGATTGAGTTTGCTCTTGAACTCGTAAAAAGAGCGGTGTACCGGTTTGGCTCTGATCCGTGGAAAGAGTCGGAAAAGTTCTTTATTCAAATTCCCAAGAGGCGCTTGGGGAGTGGAGTAGGTCGAGTTTGACCGAACCACTATAAAACTACGGTGTCTTTTTCTCTAACTCTTTCCTATTTAATTTCAAGATTATTATTATGTTTATTGCATGTTCTACTTGATTATTGTTTTGACTTGAATTATTTTGTTTTAGTAATTATCATCTTCTACTTATTTGTAAAAAGTTTTATCATTAGAAAAATTAATCAAGTTTAAACACTTTTATCGTTAAAACCCTATTCACCCCCCCTCTAGGGTTGCCATACCGATCCAACAGTTTTACCCCTGCAATTACATCCCCTTAAATACCACTGATTCTCTCGTGAGCAATTTGTTTAAAAATCAATCATAAACCAATTACCTCTCGGGTCAATGAGAGGGTGGGACTCATTGTTCAAATCTCGATATCAATACTTAAAAAACAACTATCTACTTTCCTTACATAAGGAAATGAGTGAACTCCATTAATAATATTATGTTCCCAACTCTCTATTTGATCAAGTCCCAACATGGTAGGCGGTTAAAAAAGTCATTCTTATCCAGGTAAATGAAAGGACAAGCCCTAATAGGCAGAGAGTTCATAACTCACTCAGGATTAAGATCGAGTCGCATATGATCATTATGTGAAATATTAATCTTCTCAATTAACGGATTTATAAAAAGTGATTAAACATTTTTTGGTCTAGTCTTATACAAACTCAATGTATAAGATACCTCTACTTATATGTCTCTACATGAACGATTTGGATTAAATCATTTGTAACGATTACAAAGTGAGTCATATCAATAGTGTTACCAGGATAAGACACTCAACCTTATTCATATATTATAGACTCTTTAGTTATTATTTGAATACAATTGTCTTATATGACAACCACATATGGTTTAAGATTACATTAATAACCTTGGATTTTTAATGAATAACCATTAAATTACAAATAAAATAATAAAAAACAGTGTTGAAAACTAAATAATTAACTACGAAGTCTTAGGGCATAAATCCTAATATACACTACATTAAAAAGTTACTACTATACAGCTACACACCTGCACGGTTCATATAATTTACGTGCTCATATTTTATTGAATTATACGTATGCGTGCATAACTTCATATATAATTTAGATTTTGTTTATATCATTTCAAAATTTAAATTTTTAGCCAACTTGAATATAATTTAGGGTTCATTGATTAATAGGTAAATATGATTTAGGGTTTTAACGGGAAAACATGTACTATTGATTAATTTATATTTGAATACTTCCACCCGAACATTATTAATATTAAAAAAACAAAATGTTTACAATTTGAATAATTCCTATTTAGGTAGGATTACAAAATTGACCTCTATATTTTTACCGTTACTATCCAAAGACAATATTTTAGTTAGTTTATTTAAAAATAAAAATAAAAAATCGTTGCAAAATAAATAAATAAAAATTATTTTTCAAAATTTAAATTCCGAAATTAAAATAATTTATCAGACTTGGAGGGCGAAGCATATGCGAAGCAGAGATAGGTATAGAACACAAAAACTTGGCGGGGGCTTTTCATTGGCCGTTTAGCCGCCATGTTGAGAACACCGAAAGTATTTGAACGAAGACGGAAGTTGGGAATTTGTAACGTCCAGTCGATTCGATGGAGAAATGATGGAATTTGGAACTGGACGAGGACTAAGGGTGATTGCTGAGTGGTAATTGTTCTATTCGAATTCAGAATTCCAACAAATTCGAGCCATTCGAGACGATTTGATTGAAATTATAGTATAAAATAGTTCTATTAGCTTGTTTTTGGCTTGGGAATGGCGTCTTTGCTATTCCGTACTTCACGCAGGTCTGTGTCCTGCCTCTTTGTTCATCGTAAATTTCTTAATTCCTTATCGAGTCTCGACGCGCCAATCTCTCACTCCAGAGCTAGTTTAGTTTCCAATTTATGGTGTACTCGGTCGGATTTTGCTTGCGAAAATTTTATTCGAGATTTTAGATTTGGATTCATCCATGGGTTATCTACGTCTTCGGATGTAAAGGAGAGTTCAAAGAGTGACGAGAGCCCGTCTGGTAGTGTTAAACAGGATGGAGGATCACAGGCGAAAGTTGAGATGTCCTGGATTTATTTGTATTTGCCCAAAAAGATTCAGCCTTATGCTCACCTTGCGCGGCTCGATAAACCCATTGGGACGTGGTTACTTGCTTGGCCTTGTATGTGGTAAGAGTTACTTCTGTTTTTGGTCCCTGTTGGGTTTGCTGTGAATGTAAACTATATAGTTGTTAATTGGCTCGCGAGATTGGTTATTATATTCTGTATTCAGCCCGTTTGTGGAATACATAATCTCTGTATTATACTAGTCACCATTGGTTGTCTAGTTGAAAATGGATGGTTTGATTCTCTCCAAATTATGTGTTAAAGACATGATAAACGCCGAGATATGTATCCCGTATTCCATATTTGAGTTTTGAGTACTGTATTTTTGAGATTGGACGTATGCATTATTTAGTTATAACTTGCATAGTCTTATGTAAAAAAGATATTCATGTATTTCATATCATGTTTATCATTTTCAAACTTTGCTAGATCGTTTGTGAAGGATCTAAATATTGTTATGGAATTATGTATTTTAGTTAGGACGTGTGTCCGATTGCAACTTGTAAATAGAAAAGTAGCTGTCATTGGTTCACTTTATTAACCTCTATGCATTGAACTATAATTTTCTTTTGTATCATATAGGTAAGACGATGTTCACACGCCCAATTGGATCATTAATGTTAAGGGGCTCATGATTTCCAAATCCATAAATAGAGTAAATTGTATTCTTCAGGTCAATTACCTTGGCGGCATCTCCAGGCCAACTTCCTGACTTTAAAATGCTGACTCTATTTGGATGTGGGGCTTTGCTTTTGAGGGGTGCTGGGTGTACCATAAATGACCTCCTTGATCAAGATATTGATACAAAGGTCAGTGCACCTTTTTCTTCCATGAATATCATATTCACATTATTTTCTCTATCACGCGGCTTTTTTTTATGATATCTATAAGCTCAAATTTTTGAATAGTGTAAATTGGTTAGTCCTTGCAGGTAGTGTGCATCTACGTGTTTTATTTGTGATAGATAGATGTATTGACCCCTGCACTTTTAGGGCTCTGTATTTTAATTATCAGTTCATTCCATTGTTAATCATATCTGTGCGACGTTTCTAGTCCCTTTTCTTAGTCTGGGATGGTTGTGATGCAAAACAAATGACTTTCCTACTTAGTCGGTATCAATTATTTTGCTGCATTCTCATGATCTATTGTAGTCTCAATATCAGATGGGAGAGATCACCAGTCATGATGTGTAATAAAGTAGAAAGTAGAGCAGCAGGTGTCGAGGCTAAGTATTTAGCTTGCTGACGAACAGCACATCACTAACAAATAGTCTTACCACTAATTTCTTGCCTTTCTGATACACCTCGCTTGCAGGGGATTAGTTTTACTTCTAGCTCTTCCATGCTTGGCTGAGCGTTTCATCCTTTGCAGGTTGAACGTACAAAGCTAAGACCAGTTGCAAGTGGTCAATTAACTCAACCCCAGGGAATCAGTTTTTTAGGGTTGCAGCTGTTTCTGGGACTTGGAATTCTCCTTCAACTGAATAATTACAGGTCGGGTTGGCTTTGAGTTATTCTTTAGAGTGAACTGGGTCATATAATAATTGTTCCATATACTTGCTTAGTAGTTGGATGTTTCCAACCTGACTTCATGTTTTTAACAGTCGCATTTTGGGGGCTTCCTCTTTGCTTCTAGTCTTCTCCTATCCTCTCATGAAGAGGTTCACGTTTTGGGTACGATGCTTTACTTACGTTTGCTAAGTATTTTATTTATATTGTTTATTTTGAGAAAAATTGGTAATTGATGTGGATTAGTGAAATATTTGTGGCAGCCTCAAGCCTATCTGGGTCTGACCTTCAATTGGGGAGCTTTGTTAGGATGGGCTGCTATCAGAGAATCTTTGGATCCAGCTATTGTTTTGCCACTGTACTTGTCTGGAGTATTCTGGACTCTTGTATATGATACGATATATGCACATCAGGTAGAGTCCGATTCCCACTTTTCCTTTGTTTATTAGGATTTTGTGTCACCATCTTTAGAGGCAATTTTTTTTTTTTTACCCCAAAACAAAGAAGTATTTATAAAAGTAGGGAGCTCGTAGTTCAATTGAAATGTTACTCTAGTAGTGGTAAACATGGGTGAAATAGATGCAACTTATAGCAGAAAATCCTACCACTTCTTGTTTGTCCTGCGCGGCGACAAAAAATTCTACCACTTCTATAAAGCAAAGCAATAGCCGAAATCTTTGGCTAGGGAACTCCACCAAGACGTTAGGGATAATACACGATCCTTTAGCTCTAAGATACTCCTTAAATTTCTTTACGAGTTCTCAGGTGTCTTTAACCAAACCTTAGGTGGGATTGGCCTGAATAGTGTGCTTAGAGGCGTTGTTTGACATCTTAATGGCATTTTATATCTGAATAAAAGCACTAATTTCTAGTGATGCTTTTTGATTGCATATGAAGATGTGTTTGAAACTTTGAAAATATACCTTGAAGTTCAAAATACTTTTAGATGCTCTAAAAAAAAAATCCAAAGTGCCCCTAGAAAAAATGTTTCTGTCTAAAGACATCTAAAACGTACCCTTAACTAAGGTTGCAATGCTTACTCTTGATGGCTTTAGGATAAGAAGGATGACTTAAAAGTTGGCGTTAAATCTACTGCTTTGAGATTTGGAGATTCAACTAAGGAGTGGATTTCTATGTTTGGAGTTGCAAACATTGGCTGTCTTGCTCTTAGTGGTTACAATGCTGATATTGGTAAACGGCTCTGTGCCTTTCCTTTGTTCTTAATTTCCAGTTTCGGTTAAACTACAATTTGTTTGAATGTCTTATTCCATACCATTGTGGAACAGGATGGCCGTTTTATGCACTTTTGGCTGCTGCTTCTGGACAATTGGCTTGGCAGATTTCAACAGTCAACTTATCGAGTCGTGCTGATTGCAATAGAAAGTATGTGTTTGATGTGGGAGGGTACTATATCAAGCACCAGTAAAGAAAATGAAAATTTTGCTGATTTTATGGGTTGAATGCATGATTTTAAACTTATTGGTCTTCAGAATCGAGTTCTTTAAGTGTCGAATCTCCTTCACTCGTTATACTGGAGACGGAAATCTTCATTCTGGTGTTTTCAAATTAAAGTTTCATTAGAATGATACTTATGACCATGTCCTTACACATCTTGTTTAGCTAAAGATTTATGCCTATTTAAAGTTGAGGAGCTTGGTATATGTATTAGCTTTCTTCCCTTTTCTCCTTTGTACAACGCATCCTAATTTTTCTCTCTCATTTCCATTTCTGGTTTCAGGTTCATCTCCAACAAGTGGTTTGGTGCTTTAGTGTTCAGTGGGATCTTGCTTGGAAGACTTTCATCTTAGTAGCCCTATCCGAAAAATATGCGAAAGCGGGTACACGTTCGGAATATAAGAGGATTCGATCTTGCACTATCTTCAAATAAGGTTAGTACCAAACTATAATGACCTTTGAGTTTGGATAAGACTTCGGAAGTTTCAGAATGTGTAAAGATCTGCTGATATGGCCTTCATTTGGGGGGATGAAGCCAAAGGTTTTGAAGTAGCCATTGCTACTATTGAAGGAGTTTTCACTTGAGAGTTATATGTTATAGTAATTCAAATCGAGTTTCTCTCGAACTTCTTGTAATTATATTTTCGAACTTTGAGAGTTGGTTAGCAATAAAGTCTAATAATTAACCGTCATAAATAAGGGGTCTTAATTGCAAGATTTTGTGAAATTTGGGCATTGTTTGAATGGGAAATTTTATTTATTTCGGCACGAAAATGAGTGCCAAAATAACTATCGTGGAATAACATACCTCCACGACAGAATGGAATAACATACCTCCACAGTAGTATGATATTGTACACTTTGAACATAAGTTCTTACGACTTTACGTCCAATTCTTCTAAAATGTCTCATTCTAACGAAAATAGTATATCTTACTTATAAACTCATGATCTTACTCTTTTCATTAGTTGAAGTGCACTTGTCTTGGCCTTTTGTAATGCACTAGGTTGTAGGCTTACTGATTGCTCTCCTTGCATCAAACTACGATAAATTTGGCATCATCATCTTTCGTGTTTGAGTTGGGTCTTTGCAGTGGAGTGTTGCTAAACTTCAAGATCCGTTACTCAGACTCTAGCTTCACACCGCTCAATGTTTTTTCAGCCAAGTTTGTTGCACTGTCACAGGCTATATTTTGTCGCCCCCTCGTCTTTTAGTTCTTCTTGTGGCTTTTGTTTTTGGTTTCTCTAAAAAAAATCTCGTATCAATAGAGATGGTGTCCCTTGTTTATGTATATGTATAAAATTGAATTAAATTGACGTTTATTTTATAAAAACATTGTTAAAAATTTGTTACTTGGGGGCATAAAAAATCTAATTATTACCGAGTTTAATATAACAGTTTTAACACTATAAATTGTTAACCATGCTTTTTGAGTGATAAAGAAAATGTTTTTAGTATTATGATATATATATACATATATTATACTATATAGTTATATAGTTGAAAAATATGTTTACGTATTTGACACCTTAACTATTAAAATAATTAATGCATATATTTAAATTTGGAATGAAATTCAAATGAGTGATTTTTTATACTATTTAAACCTAAATTAAATAAGATATTATATTATATTACATTATATATTATATATTCAAATATATTTAATAATATTTTTTACCATAAACGATAATGAATAAATCGTTATAAATAGTAAAACTTACTAAAATTTAAAATACAAATTATTAGCCCTTTATTAGATCGTTATTTACCTATGAACTTGAAGACGCGGTTCTTAAAAATTTTAAATTTGACCTAAAACTTATGAACGTTCAGGATTCGATTTTAATTTACGAGCCGTAGATTCTAGGGTTTAAATGGACGGTCAGGATTCGATTCTCACAGTGAAAAGTTGGATAGGATTTAGCCGTACATGACACAATAATTTTTTCCTCTTACTTTCTCGTTTCGCTGTCGATCGATCTTTCATTGGCCCTAATCTGCGGTTTCCTCTTCCATCTTTTTCCCCTCGCCGTCGCTTACTTGCTCGGCATCATCCGGTTAATTGAGTCCTCAATCGCGATCTAGGAAACTACGCCAACGGACATGGCGGCTGCAGCTACAACAAGCGTTGTGCCGCCGAATCGGCGGCGTGCGGTTAGTGCCCCGGAAGACAAGTTGGAATTCGAGACGACGGAGGGGGTTGAACCGATCTTGAGTTTCGATCAGATGGGCATTAAGGATGATCTTCTCCGTGGAATATATGCATACGGTTTTGAAAAGCCCTCGGCCATTCAGCAGAGAGCTGTGAGGCCGATTATTGAGGGTCGAGATGTTATTGCTCAGGCCCAATCTGGAACTGGCAAGACCTCCATGATTGCACTTACCGTTTGCCAGGTGGTTGATACATCCAGTAGAGAGTGAGTACCGTTTACTCTATCGAGTGTTTAATGTTTCATGTCTCTCTTCCTCTTAATATATTTCTTATTTTTGTATTGGATTCAAATTCTACGGAAGTTGTGTAGTTACCTAGCTCAGAAATCCAAATGCACAGGAAAAAAATTGTTTGGATGTCAGTTGGTTCTTTTCACAAGAAGTTGTTATAACCTCGTGTTATTGCTTTGGAAATTTCGCTAGGAAGCCAAATTAATGAAACCTCCCCAAAGTAACACTGCATTCGTTTTTTTTTTTTTTTTTTTTTTTTTTTTTTTTTTTTTTTTTTTTTTTTTTTTTTTTTTTTTTTT